ATTAATCACCCTTCTTTATGATATTTAAATATTAATAATATTTAAATGAACGGAGTAGAATATAAACAAGACCATAGATTTAGAAAAAGAAACATTAATTAATATATTGATGACGGTTGAAAATTATGAACTTTTTTAAAAAAAAAAAACAGTTTAAAAAAGAGAGTACTCATTGTGTCACCAAGTACTCTCCTTTATGTTTCAAAAGTCAAATTTTATTTATTTATTTCCAAAATATTTGTATTCAAAAATGGTATTTTTTTTATAACTAATATCTTAGAGTGATTCAGGAATAATATATATATATTTTTATTATTATTTCTTTACATATCATCTACTTATTTATGAAAATTCATAAAGGTTATATATTTATACAATAATTTGAATTTTTTAACTTTTTGAATTATTGTTAAAAAATGTTTGTATATTATACTAACTAAGCCAAGTCTAAATTTTGGGGAATTTCACAAATTAAGTCAAAGTCAAAGATTGTGGTAAATCATAATTAAAGTTCTGAAGCATCATTTGACCCTTCCCATTGGAAAACTCTTCTTATTTTATTCTCTTGATCAGTTTGAATATTTTAATAGGCAATATATATATATATATTTATATATACGCTACGCCCATATAAACCACAGTGGTCATATAGTGAATAAACGATCATCTTCTGTATATTCTTATTCTAAAAGATATTTTAGTAAAGGAAACCAAAACTTTGTTTTTACATGAAGCTAAAGAGTAAATATACAGCTAAATAAGAACCTCACAATCTATAAATAAAGAAACTCTAAAGTATTATAAATTATGCTATTTTAAATTATTTAAGTTAATTTTAATATTAATTTTTGTAGTTTTAATTTTTATATTTTTAAAAATAAAATAGTTACCATATTCTAATTTTATCTAATTTAAATAAAATAGTTAATTACATAAAAAATATATATATATTAAAAATAACATAAACGGATAGTAATAATAATAATAATAATAATAAAATAATGATAATAATAATAGTGAAATATGTTTGAAAAATTTAACGATTTCTTTTTTTTTTTTTTTAAAAAAATGAGAGCAAAAAAGAGAAGGCTCGGTCAAACTTAAAGTGGGAGGGGATTGGGTTTGCTTAGTTCAAAAATCTTAGAGTCCAAAACCCACCGGAAGACCCAAATCGAAGACTGCAAAATTGAATGTTAAACGGCGTCATTTTAATGAACTACTAAAATGACTGCATTTTAATAAATGAATCTGCGCCAATTAAAGAAAATTTTTTTTATAAGAAAAATAATTTGGTAATGTAAAGGCCCAGAACTTAAGAAAATAGAAATAATAAATTAACTATAAGTAAAAATAATTTATATATTAGGGTTTACATTTTTTACACAATAAATTGAAATGTTCAATAAGGGTACGAGAATGTGCCTTTTAGAAA